GCGCGCGCACGCACGCCACATTCACACACCACACACTGCGCGCGCCGCGACGACACACACAGCATACACACACACACACACACACACACACACACACACACACACACACGGCACGCGGGACCGCACATTCACACACACACACACACAACCACACAGCACACACACATACACACACACACACACACACACAAACACAACACACACACACACCAACACGCACGCCACCGCACATTCACACACACACACACACACACACACACACACACACACACACACATTCTATATATATAGGATATATATATAGTATATATTATTAATATATATATAGCAGAGGAGAGCAGAGAGAGAGAGAAGAGAGAGAGAGGCAGAGAGAAAGAGAAAGAGAAGAGACGAGAGAGAGAGAGAGACGAGCGAGAGAGAAAGAGAGAACTAGAATGCGCACACGCGCGCACACCCACGAAAACGTACGCACCCACGCGCACACCCACGAAACGTACGCACGCACGCGCATTATGCACACGCAACAATCAATATATATATATTATATATATATATATATATGTAACAGTAAATATGTAGATCTACAGTTCATATATAGACGTATAAATATATGTTTATGAATTCATAAATAGATGCATTTATGCGTTACAAAGAGAACAAATGTACATTACTATAAAATTTACTTTCATAGTATTTCTAATTAAATAAATAAGTCAACAAACAAAATATATCAATATATCAATATATCAATATATCAAGTATTATCTATAATAATAACATATATATTGATATTGATATTGATATTGATATTGAAATTGCAGAACTGCAAGGTAAAGCCACTGACATGAATTTAATAGTGTCTTTCCCGTGGTTGTCTGTACTTACCGGTGTGTTGTGTAAAGCAGATGTGGTTCCTCGTTCAACGCCCTATCAGCATGCAACAGTGTTGTTAATGGGTCTCTCTTTCTCTATCTCTCTCTCTCCTTCTCTGCTCTCTCTCTTTCTCTTCTCTCGCTCTGTCATCTCTTTACGCGCTCCTGCTAGTCGTGCGCTTGGCAGTGTTGTTGGTGGGTGTCTCCCTCTCTCTCTCTCTCTCGCGCGCGCTGTCTATCTCTTTACCGGTCTCCTATCATGTGCGTTGCAGTGTTATTGGTGGCGTCTCGTCTCTTGTCTTCGCCTCGCTCTCTCTCTCATCTCTCTTCGCTCTCTCTCTCGTCTCTCTCTCGCCTCTTCTCTGCTCTCTCGCTCTCTCTCTCTGCTCTCTCGTTCTTGCCTCCCTTGCTCTGGGTGTTCCCCTCTGCTGCCGGCTTCTTCCCACGTGCGTTGTGCGCGCGCGCGTCCGTCGGTGTACCGCGTATTGCCGTCGCTAGCGACGTCGGAGGCGTTTATCATGGTGCACGGTGCGCCGTACCAATCAGTTAACCTGCCGCTCTTGGCCACGTCCGCATGCTGCCGCTAGCTGCCGTGCCGCTGGCTTAGCGGTCTCCCGACTCTGCTTTTGTTGTGTCAATCAAGGCAGCCAACGGTTGCGGAGCGGGGCCGTGGCTAACTAGCCCTGCACGCGACCGGATAGCGCGCTGACACGGCGGCTGCACGGGTGGGGGATGGTGAGGGAAGGGTGAAGGTGATGGGGAGAGGAGGAAACGGAGAAGTAGGAAGAGATGGAGGCGGAGAGGAGAGGGACGGTGGAAGCAGTGAAACGAAACTGAGAACGTAGGAGAGATAAGCGGAGAGGGAGAGACGCGTGGAGAGAGGAGAAACTGGAGAAGTAGGAAGAGAATTGAAAGCGAGAGAGAGAGGACGGTGGGGAGGAGGAGAAACGGAGAAGTAGAACAGATTAGAGGGCGGGAAAGGGAGACGGTGGAACAGGAAGAAACTGAGCAAGTAGAAAGAGATGGAGGCCGGAAAGTGAGAGAGGTGAGGAGGGAAGAACTGAGAAGTAGGAATGAGATAGAGCGGGAAAGTGGGGACGGTAGAAGAGGAAAGAAAACTAAAAGTAGGAAGAGATGAGGCGGGAAGGGAAAGACGGTAGAAGAGGAAAGAAAAATTGAGAAGTAGGGAAGAGAATAGAGGCGGAAAGTGAGAGGACGGCTAGAAGAGGAAGAAAACTGAAAAGTAGGGAAGAAATGGAGGCGGAATAGGAAAGAGGTGGAGGATGCGGAAGACAGAGAGGTAGGAATGGTGGAGAGTGGATGGGAGCGATGTGTGGAGGGAGAGATAAGAAACGGACGGTGAGATGATGAGGGGAGCAGAGAAATAGTAGGGGATTGGGATATACGGTGTGGAGAGGGGTGACGATCGTGGACGAGGAGGAGAGGTGCGTGGGTTGATGAGGGGATTATGAGTATTGGAGAGTGGATGGGCTGTGGGGGAGACGGTTAGATAAAAGAACGAGATAGAGGGGTGGTGCGGGAGAGGTAGACGTGTGCACACGTACCACACAAGCAGCATGTCGCATGATTTTGTATTAATTTTAGAAATTGTAAACATAAGGCGAATAATATAATTAATATAATATAATATATTTTATTGCTAAAAACTACTCGCGCTGGATGTCTCATACCCTAAGCATTTCTGTCAACTTACCAATATAAATTCGTCAACGAAATAAAAAATACATGCAGTTAACTTTATTACACGTAGATGTTAAACTCTCGTATCAAAATATCTTTCAAGTCGGTTCTGGTAAGATACGAAACATTTAACATTGGAACAATTTTACATGTTTAGCACTTCGAACATCAACGTATAAGGCATCGCAAGACAGTACCTATATTGTCTGCCATCTATTAGGGCGATATCGCATAAATGTTTTGCGGTTTTCCACGTGACCGTATCCTCTGGATAGGGCAACGCTCTTGTTATAAAGTCGTAGTGACGCTGAGAAATCCGTATGAATCGTAGATGGGCGTTAGAGACGAGTGTCAGTTAAAAAAGTTCGACTTCGGAGACGATGCATTCTTTCTCTTCATGTGGTCGTTAGTTTCCGCACAACGCGGATACTTCCGGTCTGTTTGTCGGATATTATTTCGCAGTTCCACGTAATTCACTTGGCGTCCATTTAAGGCTCTGTGAGATATAACCGTAGCTATTTGGTGACCGGGAGCCACGGCTAAACATTCTGGGCACTACTGGAGCACAATACTGCGGGCTAAGCTATAAATTGATACGTCTGGTCACCTAATGATTATTCAGGGTGAGGAGTTACGGGGTGGCATGATGTTTTCCCTGACGAGGAATGTTAATCAGGCGGGTTTCGACGTTCAGTGTGCGTCACCGTACAAATCGGCTATCTCCGAGTATGAATGATACAGCCTGCTGTATGGTAATGGTGGTTGTCATGGTCATATTCCATACTACCATATCAACTTCCGCATCAGATCTTTCCGTATATTCAAGAACATGAAACAAGCGATAAAAAATGCAAAAACCTAACCCCAACTCTAACGTATAAACCGACTCGGCTATCATTATTATCGGCGTGCATAGGTTTAGACCAAATTAATCTATGGTGTATAGATAGCACATGACGTCACACTGACGTACACTAACGTCACGGCGGATACTCTGTTTCATTGAAAACATATTGACCACCGCCGAGTTGCGGATAGCAATCTCCCTGTAGGGTACACACATCGCCATCTAATTGGCAGTTGTTTAAAAATATGATTTCAAGTGTTACCATCAGCTTACTGTAAAGGTTTTGGCGCCACGTATCGTTGATTTAAAATTAATAGTATGAAAGTTACTATCAAAAACCACGATTATTGAAGTTTTCACGCACCGCACGCATACACGCCACGCGATACACCTCTTACGCCACCCACGCACGGCAGACACGCCACGCATACACCTACCTACGCACGTTACGCACGCACCGCAAACACGCAGACACGCACGCATACACCTACCTACGCACGCACGCAGGCAGACACGCACCGAGACAGCCTACCTACGCCGCACGCACGCAGACACGCACGCATACACCTACCTACGCCACGCCACGCACGACGCACGCAGACAATGCAGACACGCACGCAATACACCTACCTACGCACGCACGCACGCAGACACCACGCAGCGCAGCACGCACCGCATACACTACCTACGCACGCACGCCACGAAGACACGCACGCATACACCTACCTCGCACGCACGCACGCACGCACGCAGGACACGCACGCATACACTACCAACGCACGCACGCACGCTCAAACGCATACACCTACCTACGCACGCACGCACGCACGCACGCTCAAACGCATACACCTACGCGCGCACGAGCGCAGGTACGCGCGCACATACGCAGTTCACGTCGCACATATACTTACG